TGGGGGGGAGTGGATGGAGGTGGAAGATGTGTCTAGGTTAAAAGCTTCTAGAGGGAAAGGAAATGTCATGTTCACTCAGATCAGGTTCAAGGCTAACTGGAAGAAAAGCTAACCAAAACAGAGAGCCCAAGAGGGAGGCTGTGGTACCCTCGGAAGCACCCATTCTTTAGGAAAAAGTCCCTGTGCATGCACACTCTGACCCAAAGGGCTGGGTACTATGCTCACAGAGAATCTGTTCTAGTAGGTTTCTGGTCCACAGAGTCTTCCATTTCAAAGAAATCCACTTCTGTACTTTGATTTCTACTAGTTCTCTCATAGGATGTGCATGTTAATGTTTCTGTGCATCCCAGTTGGGCACTATCCTTTCAGCTCCTAAGGTGGGAGAGACTCTCAATCACAGCCACATCTATACCCTTTCTCCCAAGAGCCAATTCTCAGTTTCCCAGAGCCAGCCAGCTTGACACACGATGAAAAGCAGCTTAATGCTCTCTCAAGCTTAGAAACATCCACTTCTCTTCAGAACTTACTTCCCCCCCTTGTTATTAAGGGTCTTTAAAAGATATCGGAGTCTCACTGAGATCATTAACTCTCAAAGCAAATGGGAACAGCACGACAATGTGACACGTACTGTCTTGTGTATCACTGTTAGACACCTCTGAGAGGTTAAATTGCTTCCATGGTTTAGCTGGACTTCAGGGACTCTTATAGGAGGTACATAACTCCAGGGCCTCCTCCCACTCTCAGTGCCTAGGCACTATCCAGAATGGATCCCAAGTCACACAGGCACAAAGAAGCAGTCTGTATAGGAAGGCTGTGTACAAGGCTCAGAGGCTCATCTTTCCAAGAGGCACAAGCCCCCACACATCAATGTCCCCTCTGACCCTGGGCCACCTGTTGTTAGCAGTGAAACCCACATGACTGGGTACTGTTTATATAGCATGTCCTTGGGGGGAATAGAGGAGGGAGAAAAGAGTAGCAGTCTAGTCTATTTTAAAAAGACATTAACATTTATCAGCCATTACTAAGTCTGCATTATATACATAGATAGCACTATTCCCATTTCATAGGGAAACTTCTCAGAATCTAAAGTGATGGACAAAGTCTCCTTGCAAATAGGGAGAGCAGGGATTTGAACCCAGGTCTGAAGCAACCGGTTTTGCTGCTGGAACAGCAACAATGAATACTTTAACTGCCCTACACACTACCTTGGTCCTGCTGCACTAGATCCAAGGACCAAAGTTCCTAAGATGACAGTAAAAGACAATACCCCAAACTTCTTCAAGGCGAGCAGGAAGAAAGCCAAGGAGAGAAGCAGAGTCGGCTGCCACATCAGTAATGCACACATACACATATTGTCTTTCTTTCTTATACTTGATTCTCCACAGAAAGATTTGGAGCATCACATCTTGTAGGCTAGAAATGTGCTTTTCTATAGCATTTCCATTCTTTCTTAGTAAAATTCACTTTAAAGGATTTGGAAGGTCCCAGGAGAAGAAACCACCATTTTCTTTAACTTTTCCCAACTTCTCTAGTAGAGGAAAGAGACAAGACCATCATCACCTCTGCATCTTTAGGGGCTTTCCACAGGCATTCAAGTCCTGCTCAGTTTAAAATTCTGCAAGTTAGCTGCAAAGCCTCAGGTGTTGGCCATTTACAAACCTTTTGTGAAGTCAGAAGCACTTCCCTGGGGTTCTCAGGGTGGGAGCAAACACTGGCTTAAATGGTTTTTCCAGCCTCGCTCAACCTGACCCCCAAATGATGGAAAATCCAAAGGAGACTCAGAGGTGAGTCTCAACAACTTGCAGGGAACATGGAGAGGCCAGGACTGAAGATAAGCTGGGAAATAGGACCAACTGTAAGCTTCTACCCTGCAGGCTGGCCAAGGAGGGCCCTACCCCACAGAGGTGCCAACAACACTCCTTTCTTGAAGGCTTTCACAGTAAAGGCTTAGCTGTATACATAGAGCAAGGTGTTTGAGTGGGTTCTTCAAAGAGAGAATAAGGCAGAATTTCTCTCTTCTCTGGAGGGCAGGAACAGGTAAAACTGGTCACCATGCTACTTTTTAGGGATAGAAGAGTCTTTGAGAAGGGTCCTTAGTTCAACAAGCCTGCCCAGTTCCAGATATGAGGAGAACAAGTCAAGAGGCTTACTCATCCTTCTCTAAGAATGGGATGGGGTCTCTCCTGTGACAATACATTTCTGACTCTCCTCCCTCCCCAAAGGCCTGGTGGGTTACTGAGCTGGAAGGTACACTTACATACATGCAGGCAATACATTCATACACATAAAATAAAAATTGAAAAAAAAATTTGATGTTATGCACAACTTTGTCCTTTTCCCAGGAAGCCATTTCTCCCATCTATCTGGGAAGATGATCCAAGATCCAATTTTGCTGCTTTTATCATCAATGCTTTCAGCAACTTTATTCTACTTCCCTTGCTGTAATTACTTTGAGTCATCAACACACCCAGACAGCCTTAAAGCTCAGAGAGCAGAATGCTAAAAAAAATTGGGGGAAAAATCTGCAATGGAAAACAGCTCCACTTCGAAACCAATCCAGCTAGGAGCAAGTTGTTTCTTTCCAGAAATCAACTCATTAATAAGCTGCTTCAGGCTTCTTTTTCCTAAGGTAGGCAAGGATTGGGGATGGAAGATGGTGAGCTTGGGGAGGGACAGGAACTTCTAGAGGATCTAATGAAAACATGTGTTCCCTCTCCCTTCTGTACGTTTGGGTTTTAAGAGCAGGTTCTGTTTGTAAATGATGGGGAACTCGCAAGTTGGCTAGTTGCTGGGTGCCCAAGCAGCACAAGAAGAAAGCAAGCCTTCCCTGGAATGCAATCAAATTTCAAGGGGAGGGGAGAGTGAGACCCAGTGGCTGCTGGCTTGAGAATTCAGATTCTTTCAGGGATAAGTTTGAAGGACAAACCACACACACACACACACACACACACACACACACACACACACACACGGAGAGCGAGCGAGCGAGCGAGAGAAACAAAATGAAACTCCAAGAAAATCCAACCAAACAGCAATCTGACACTGTCCAGAAACCAGCTGCTTTGCTTTCTGCCTGCCACTCAATCTGCTGGGTGAAGCTTCTAGCTCTGATTTGCACGGTGCCACGACACAGTCCAGCTTTCCTTTTATCCCGGTTGTGGCCTCACCTACCCCCAGGACACCACTCGGGGGGCCTGTGCATGAGGGGAGCACCTGGTTTAGAAAGCACATGCTGTTCCTGGCTTTGCATCACTACTGCCCCCTCGTGCGTCCTTGCACATCCAGATTTCTTCACCTCTTCCTGGAACTTGGGCCCCTTTCCTTCCACGAGGATGGGAAGAGTCTGGCAGCGAATTATAAACACAAGCAGCCTCCCTTTTGCAGTTCTAAGCACAGCTGGGCGACCAGCAGGGGCGGCGAAGACGCTGCTTGGGTCACACAGCTGGGCCGGTGAAGCAGTGAGGAGAGCAGGGACCCTGGTTCAAGGCGTTCAAGGGGGCAGAAGGGCCTCCTCAGAGCAGGGTCTGAGTAGGCAAGGTTCTATCTCTCCTCAGGGCAGGCTTCTTTAGAGGGCAGGGCTAGGAAGAAACAAGCACCCCCCCCCCCGCCCATTCCATTAAGGAATTTTAGAGTGGCTAGGCCACCACCCCAGTTGCTTTGCCCCTAGGGCTAGGCAAGCTGGGAAACTCTTTGGGAAATGAACCCCAGGAAAAAGTGACCTGCTGACTAACAAGGCTCAACAGGGGGATGCGGGGCTGACACCTAGTCCCCACAGCTGGCCACCTGCCAGGTTCTAGGCCCCAGTCTACTCAATTGCAGCATGGGCCGTTTATGCCCGGTGGAATAGAGAAAAGAGGGCTGGGATGCTTGGGATTTGGTCTCAAGAGCGTGCCCTCCACCCAGCCTCAGGGCCAAGTGGCGCCAGTCCTGGGAGTTCGCTATTAAAAAGCAACATTAGCCTTTACTCTGAACGGAAATTCTACCCACTATTTGGTACAAAATCCTCAAGACCAGAAGAAAATAGGGGATGGGGGAAAAGACTTTGAGGAGCCCCACCTGGGATCAAACTACGAGATTGCATCCTCCCGGGTCCCCCTCAACCTCCTTCCCATCCCCGCGGGAGGCCGAGGCCTTAGCTTCAGTCCCCAAGCCCACCCTGGAGAGAGGGCCTGTAACTCTCCTTGCCTCTCCACCTGATCCCCCAGGGAAGCGGAGGCCATCCGCCGCTGCCCACCGACAACTCGCACTTCTTCGTTGCGCGATTCAGAAACACGCCGGGTCTGATGCCATCCGGCGAATTATGTAACCAGGGACACCGCTCCTGGGCTAAACAAACGCGGCTCTGTGTGTGCAGCGGCGCCCCCGGGGGAGTGCACCCAGGCAGGGAGGGGCTCCGGCCGGGCCTCGGGTCGGCGTTGTTTGCTCAGCGAGTAGAGCCCCGCGCCGCGGAGGTCCGGGTGACCGGGGCCCGGACCCCTCCCCCGCCGCCGCCTCCAGCCGGGGAACTTCGTCCCAAGTCCCCCCCCCCCACTGCCTGGATACCTCCACTGCCCACAGCCCGAGCACCCCCGGGCTTGGGGGAGGGGGTTAGACGCGCAGGACAGCAGTCCCGGCTGCGGTCCAGTCCCGGACCCCTCGAGCCCCCTCCCCATCCTTCCCGTGGTCCCGGGTCCAGGCGCGCGCGGCGGTGCAGTTAAAGTGGCGACTCCATCTCCCTGACTCGGGTGGGGGCGGCCGCTGGCTGGCGCAGCCCGTGTCTCTGCCCCGGGGGGAGGGGTGGCAGGACCAAGTGACAGCTGCGCGGTGACACTCTCCCGCCGGGGCGCCCACCCGGGGGCAGTATCGACTGGTATGCCAGGACAGATGGACATCGGGGGGTCCCTCTGGACTCCTGCGCCCCGACCCCCGGGAGGTGAGGGGCCGAGGCGTGGATGCGGGGATGTGCTAGCCCCCTCCCCGCCCGGGGGCGACGCAAAGTTTTGGGAAGTTGCTGCCCCTACCTTGCTTGGTGAGCACCAGGGCGTCTTCCCTCCGCGCCTGGGTGATGATGGAGCCGTGTTCCATCTAACAATCCCGCGGGCCCGGGCTGGCTGGGCGGGCGCGCAGGCTGGCTGGGCTGGGCTGGGGGGCCTGGGCGGGGGCCCACTCCGGCTCCCAAGACTCCGATTCCCACCGCTGTTCACATCCCCCCCCCTTGTTTCCTCCCCGGGCCGGGAAGGGAGGCGGCTTGTACAGAGGGCGGGCGGCCCGGGCAGCGGCTCCCCCGGTGCCCCCGGCCCCGATCCCCCGGTGGCAGCTCCGGGCTCCTCAGTTTGGGTCCAACATGGAGAATCCGGAGCGAAAACAAGAGGAGGAAATGGGACACGGGGCGGTTTCCAGGCTCCCCCCTCCCCTCCGTACTCCAGATAAACAACCCGCGGCTGCAGCGCCCACCCCCGCGCTCCTCCCAGCTCTTGATCCGGCCTCTCAACGGTCCGCCGGCGCTCCCCACTCCGGCCAGCGTTCTAGAACCCGAGACCCTCCACTACTGAGTGGCCGTGGCTGCGAACGGTGCGGAGGTTTGCTATTTCGTTACGGAAAAAACGAATCCCCGAGGGGGGTGGGGTGGCGGGCTGGCAAGCTGGCGGGGGAGACTTGAAACCGCTCCGGCGTTCCGATTGGCCCGCTTGCAGAAAAGGGGCGTGGCCCCTCCTTACTATGCGGTGCAAGGACCCAACAACATTCCAGTCGCTACGGCCACGCCCCCGGCCACTCCCCACGCGCCGGGCTGCGGCCTCCCAGTCTCCTCGGCCACACCCCCTTCCCAACTACTTAAAAGGCCACTCCAAAGCTCACGTTTGCTAGGTGTTGGGGTGTTTCTTTTTCTGTAGGCCCTTCAGGGAAATGGGAATGGTTCGGCTCTCAAGTAATCAGTGCAAGCCAAACCTGGGTGGGTGGCTGCGATGGAGGCAGTTATGGTACTTACTGCTTAGAACCCACTGCCTCACGTTAAGAGTACTACCACTGAATCTTGAAACGGGTGTAGGGGGAGAAACCCGGACTTCTGAGTTAAGAGATGGAATTGACCTTAAGATTGGGTGACTTACACACGTAAAATGACACTTTAGGTGCAGGGCTTTTATACTCAGGGCATTCCCTTTTAGGCACCCCATCTTCCTAGCCTAGCTCCTAGCCTAGCCTCATCCTCAGTTCAGGAGGATAGAGGTCCCTAAGTGAGTAGCTTCAGGTCTATGGATCCAGATTGCCCTTCCTCCTTCTTTAGGTTCCTATACACCCTCCCGGCTTTGGACTCTCAAACTCTCCTGAGTTCCTGTTCAGGGTTGACTGGAGGGGGAGGGCTTTGCATTTGTCTCCAAAGAGCAGTATCTCAAGAAATGACAGGTTTCAACTTCTTATCATGTGGTTAAAAAAATATTTTATTAGCATATGTTTGTGTGGCATGTATATATGTGTTCGTGTAGTTGTATGCACAGGCCAGTGGGTCTATAACAGATGCCTTTCTCCATCACATTCCACCTTATTTTTTGAGACAGGATCTCTTATTGAACATGGAGCAAGTAAATTCATCTAGGCTGCCTGCCAAAGAGCTCCAGGGATCATCCGCCTCTGCCCCCCAGCATGCTACCTCATCTAGTTTTTACACAGGGGCTGGGAATCAGAATTCAGACCCTAATGCTTATGCTGCAGAGATTTTTAACTACTGAGCCATCTCCCCAGCCCTGGGTGACCTTGAACTTCTGATCTTCCTGACTCCACCTCCCAAATTCTGGGATTACAGATATGTGCCACCACATCCAGTCTATGCACTGCTGGGGAATCAAACCCCGTGCTTCATACATGCTAGGTAACCACTCTACCAACTGAGCTACATCTCCACCCAGTTTTGTTATTATTTTTTGCTTTTATTTTATTTGAGACGGTTTCATTATGTAACTTTGGCTGGCTTGGAATTCCCTATGTAGACCAGCCTGGCCTCGAATTCACAGAGATCCGTCAACCTGCCTCTGCCTCTTGAGTGCTGAGATTTAACTTAATTTTATATATTTACTTATTTTTGGTGCTGAGGACTGAACCCAGGGTCTTGTGCTTGTTAGGCAAGCGCTCTATCACTGAGCTAAATCCCCAGCCCTCTGTGCTGAGATTTTAAAGGCATACCACCATACCTCGTCATTGTTATTATTAATTTATTTTTTTTAACCAAACAGAACCAATCCATTTTCCTGGTGTTATCTGCAGTCATAGTTCTGTTTGTATTGTAGGTGTGTGTGTGTGGGGGGGGTTCTGAACACCAGGGCTCCACAGCCCTCTGTCCTCCTATCTTTAGGTTTTCCAAAGGCACTTCTGCCATGGCTTCCCAGGACAAGGTTGTTGCCAAACTGAGGTGGAGTGAGGGAAATCAGTGACAGTGACAGAGGCTGGCGGAGGGGGTGTGGGAGGAGCTGGTGCAGGGGGCATAGCTCATCTGAAAAGCAGACTGGGAAACTGTCCAGGGCCTTCTAATTCTGGGTGATGCATTCTGCAAGGTGCAGGCAGGCCCATCATCCCAGCCCCAGCACTTAGTTGCCCCCTGATTCCTCATGTTCCAGTAAAGATAACAGGAGAGCCTACCTCATAGGTGACCGTGAGGTCAATGAGAAAACAAGTGAAGTGTGTGGTGCCTGAGATATGAAATGCTCAAGAAATATTAACCATCAGCCTTTCCTCCATATCTGTTCCTTCTGCCACCATCATCTTCCCAGGTCTTCAGGCCACAAGCCTGAAGTCACCACTCAGTGAGTCCTCCTCATTCACAGTGAGCCCTCCTCACTCACATCCAGCTCCAGTCCTGAACACCAGTGGCTTCCCCTTCGAGAGTCTGTCAGTCCCTTTCCTTCTTTCCATCCCTCTGCTCTGTCAGGGGAACCTGGTAGCAGGCTCCTCATCAACCTCTTTCACTCTCTTAAATCCCAAATCCAAATCCATCCTGCTCGCCTAGAAAATGCCAATCTAACGAGGTCTACATGGAATGATTCAGCAGTTCCCCCATGGCTTTCAAAATGAAGCTCAAATGCTTGGCTGGGCACACATGGTCCCCAGATCTGGCTTCCACACGCCGTCACCTGCACTGAGGGCCTGAGACAGACCCTGGCACCCTTGGCCTCCAAACCTCCGCACAGCCAGTTCTGTCTGCCTGGTTGTCCTTCCCTTCTTGGCGTTGTTGGACCTCCTTAACCTTTGAAGACACAGTTCAAGTACCTCAAATCCTCCAGTGTGACTTAGGTGCTACCTGGGCTCCCACATTGTTCCTTACTGATGACTGTTCCCCACTGCAGCCCAAGATCTCCAGTCTGACACCCACTGCTCCATTTCTCTCTGGCCACTGAGGCAAGAAGACTGTCTCACCTAGGATGAGGGAACCCCAGAACTGAGCCTGCCAGCACCCCTTGCCCACCACCCAGAGACCACAGAATCAGATCTTATATCAGGCTTCAAAAACCAGACTCAAGACAACTGAAGCTTTGCCTAAGCATTCAGAAAGGTCACATGGGCTGGTGGAATCTTGTCACCCTGAATCACTCCACTCAGTACGGGGGTGGGGAGAGTACCATGAGCTAAAGGCTGGACTATTTGGGGCTGAACCCAACTCCCCTCTTCTGATCTCCACCCATCAAGAGCACAGGCTCCACCTTTCCTCCCAGGTCCTGGGAGACCACGTGAGCTCAGCCCCCTGCAGCCTTCGGACGTGGGGCTCTAGCCTGCGCCTAAATAAGGAAGCCCTAGGAGCAGATCAAGTTTCCCGGCGGCGCCGAGTATTTACAGGTTCCCTGTACTAAGCCTACCCTCCCTCTTTCCTAGCTCCTCTCGGCTGGCGCCTAGGAAAATACAGAAGGGGCCCCCTGTATGCCCCACCCGCTTCCCTCCCGCCCCGCTAGCCTCTCCCTCCCAGCCCACTGCTGCTCCGGCCTCTCCCCGGCACAGCTTAGGTTGCGGCATTCCAAAGTCCCAGCAGCTCTTTGAGGTCACGTGGCATGGAGGGGGTGGGGAGGCGGGACGCCCCTGACCCGCCAGCGGCCTTGATGCCTGCGAGTGATACAGCTTTTATAGTCCCTTCTTCCCCAACCTTTCAGGGGCCAGCTTTGTACTGGCCTTTCGAACTCCGAGGGAGGCACGGTGGGTTTTTAGCCCCCAGTGCCTGCGCGTGTCTGCCTTGTGCTAAGCACCTGCAGACCTTCCTGCACCCCAGAAGTGGGCCGCATACCTTTCCCATTCCTAGATCTTGGTGGAAGTTATGAGGGCATGCTCTCTGGCAGGGCTGGGATCTAGGCTGATGGCCTGCAAAATGGGCAGGGAAGTGAACAGACCAGAAGGCCTTGTGAAGGCCTTGACAAGCCGTCCAAAGTCCAAGAGCTCACTCGTACACTTTTGTAAACCTGGATTATAGATCTCTGAGAGCTGTATTTTGGGGCAGGGGACTTGGAAACTGAGAGGAGGTCCGTGTCCTTCCAAGCTGGACAGACAGACCCCCCCCCCAACAATTAGCTCCAATTTAGTGCAAATTCAGAAAACCCAGCCATGGAGTTGACCTGGTCACACACAGGAAGGGACCCTGGCTTCCTTGCAGGGTTGAAGTTAGAGGAATGGATTGGGGAGTTGAACATAGATTCAGCCAACTTGCCTGAGAAGTTTGACCTTGTGGGAAAGAGGCTGAGTAGACAGTGGAATGCAAGGGAAAAGAGCTCTTAATATGCTGGATGGGAGGGGAGTAATTTCTTGATGAATCATAAATTCACTTATTTGAATGTTTATTGAGTCCTTACTAAAAATGACACATGCATTCATTCAGTTGTATAATTACGGACTCTACCTACCTTTCACCAAGCCTTGCCTGGTAAGACAGATTCTGCAGTTCTCTGGAAGAGCCACATTGAGCGTAGTGACAGTCTTATGTGCTAAAGCTGGAGGTGGGAAGGGACATACATAATAAGAGACTGGGGAGAAAAGGATAGTGGTGAAAGGAATAGTACCAGAAGAGTCCATCAGCTGGGGTGAAAAAGGGGTAGGATGGGTAAAGAGACAGTGTTTGAAAAGCCCCAGAGGCATGTTCTGGAACCTAAGTTAGTACAGTCACCAGCTGATGGTGGCCATAGGGGGAGCAGGGAGGGAAATGCCTTTGAGAAAGAGGGGTGAGTTGATGAATAGTGACCACCTTGGGGGATGCCGGGAAACCCCTTCCCCTCCGGCTCTACTCAGTCCAGCAGGCATGTGGCAGGGAGGATATAACATCAACTATAGCTGCATTATAAAATTAATAATTATCTTATCAAAATAACTTTCTCATAGATTAAAAATTGAACAGTGC